TTATGGTGAAAAGTGAGGGCTGCCTATTCACGTTCATGAGCATTTCTCCTTGTGGTCACTTGGTTTTCCCATATGGAGGATTAGAGGGGACTAAGGCTGTGGGCTGGACCTGGAGGAGACTGGAGGCAGAGGAAAGATGCTTCCTGTGGAAGCTAAATGGGTCACTGTTTAGAACCATATTACTTCAGAGATGAGAGGGACCTTAGATATCAAGAGCTGTTTTCTCTTCAATGAAAAGAAGAATGACAACTTGAAGAGTCCAGGAAGTCACACCAGACCCAGGACTCAGGCCCCGGCTCTCACACTGTCCTTTCTGTACCCCACCGACTTTCTCAGGGTGTCCTGGGCACGTGCATAGCACCAATCCTGTCTATCTTAGACTCTTGGGTATTTCATCTGTAACAGAAATACAGACTAGGTCGCTTAAACAACAGAAATTTATTTCTCACAGTTCTGAAGTCTGGGAAGTCCAAAATCAAGGCACTAGTAGATTCGAGGTCTGATAAGGTCCCACTTTCTGGTTCATAGATGGCTGTCTTCTCACTGTGTTCTCACACAGCGAAGGGGTGAGGGAGCTCTCTAGGTTCCCTTTCACAAGGGCACTAATCCCATTCATGAAGGCTCTACTTTGATGTCCTAATCACCTCCTGAAGGTCTCATCCTAATACCTCCTAATAACCATCACACTGGGTTTCAACATATGAATTTGGGAAGAACACAAACATTCAGTCTATAGTACTGTCCGGTCACTCTAAGAAAATAGCCCAATACTTGCTTATGGCACAGCCATGTCTTTTGTGAGCCTTTTGACTTTTTCTCAAAGTGGAGAATAGATAGTGCTTTAACCTAGAAAAGATTTAAGGTGTATTAGAGATAGACAATTATCAATGCTTTGGGTTCTATGGTATTTGTCTTGCCAAAAACATGAGTTTATAATGAAGCACAGAGAGACAGCCACTCAACTTGGAGACCAATATTGTGGTCCCAGATTTGCCCTTTAATCTGCCATGTGAGATCACTGGCAAATCACCAACTTCTCCAGGCCTCTTTCCTCAGCTCTCTGGGCTTAATAATGATTGGCTTTGTGTACTGTCACAGATGCTGTTGGTGCCCTACCCAGAACCCCTTCACCAGGGGGGTACACCTATTCTCAGCTGCTGTATTGGCTAAAGGTTCATGGACAGGGTTCCCTGAATCCCTATTTCAGGTTCTGCTTCTGGAGAGGCCAACCTGAGACACCTCCTGTTATGGTGCGAACGATTCTGAGACCCACGGAGCCAATTGAGATTAATTATGAGCCTTTATTAGCCAGCCGGTGACTGACTCTACCACACAGGGTTAGAGGAGATCAGCCCAGAGCTTTCAGAGGAGGCACCTTGATAAAGCTTAAAAGACCATATCTTGGTGGTCTCCTGAACAAGCAAGCAGATTACAGAAGTGGAAGTTGGCCGTTAGCATATCTTTACCCAGAACAACACCCTTAATTAACAAGTAAATGGATTACAGAAGCAGACATTCGCCATCTTCATATCCTATACAATACACTTCCTAAACCACACACAAGCAAGTAGGACAACTTCTGGTATCTAAAGATATTTCTTCCCTGTAGCTGACTTAGCTAGTTGGCTCACTTGAAAATATTCCACCCTTAACACTCCCTAAAAGTGTTGGCCCTCTAAAAACTAAAGTATCAATGGGTTTTTAATATGATCTTGGACCATGCTATAAAAATCCCAGCTGTGGCTTTTTGGCTGAAGGCCTATGATGAAGGCAGATAAGGTACCCAGGGAGGGCAGGGCTGTTGTTATGCATCCCAAGGATGTGAACCCAGGTTTCTCTTCCTTCCCCGCCCAGGAGCCCAGGATAGTGAGCAGGCAGTAAAAATGGGTTTACTTGAAGTCGAATAAATTTTAGGTAATGTTAAGTAGTGGTTGAACAAGTTTTTCCCATATTGGGAGGATAAGAACTCGAGCTGCAAATCATTCAGACCTTGGAACAGCAAGGTCACAGGAATTCCTGCCTTTGCTTCAGATGCAAGGTATACGAAAGTCTAATTGCAAACTGCAACTTTCTGAGTGGAGTCAGTTTAAACTTATTTAAAAATCTCTGGATATTTATTTTAATAGGACACTTCGGAGGTAAATTTGGAGTGTGTGTGCGTGCACATGCGTGTGTGTGTGTGTATGTGTGTGTGTGTGTGTGTGTGTAGAAAAACGAGAGGAAAATTGAAAGAGAAAGAGGGACTTGTGTCCCTGAGGTCTGGAACACTTGCAGTGTCCCAAGTTAATCATTGATGCCTCAGGGTGTGATGGCCACCAGAGTTGGTACTGCTGCAGGGGGCCAGAGTACTTGCTAATGGAATGCTAAGGATGCCTTTGTGCAGTTAATGATTTATCTGTGCCTGGTTACAGTGCTCTGCACTCCCTTTCTCTGAAGCTCACAGAAGCTTGCATGATCATCTTCTGGAAGTTAGGTTGGCCCTGCCTAACCGAGAGAAAATAATGATGATTTACAAATTCACTATATTTCCAGATACCCCAGGGGTTTCCTTCTGTAGGAAAGAGTTTCTTTCTTTAGTTGTTTCCTGAAAATATGCTTTAACAGAAAAGAATCATGCTTTAACAGAGTAATTGTAATCTGGCTTTCCTTTGCATGAACTTTTGTGCCAAGATAGTGCCACAAGATGACATGATTTTATATCGGTACACAACATCTGTCACCTTCAGACATGCATGATATTGATTTGTGTAGCGTTTTATTTCCATTGCTAAAGTACCTTGAAAGCCTCCACAAGTTAATGAATGTTTGTGCCATACATTCATTATGTAGACACACTAATATAAAAAGAACACATTTTCATTTAAATTGTTTTTCTATTTTACAAAACTCAGGTGTATTATTTGCAGAACTATCAGAAAATAATAGGAAAAGAGAGACCCAGAGACAACCACTGTTACTACTTTCTTATTTTAATAGCTGTGAGACCTTATCTCACCACTAATGTGGTCCCCGTCAACCTAAGATGGGACACATGTTTTTTGACGAAGCTGCAATGACTTCAGATATTGTCTGCTTCTGGGGGAAGTGACTTCAGAATCTAAGCATTCCCTCACAGGTACTAAATCTCTGTCATAAGTATAGTTTAGATTTTGATAAGGATTAATTTTCGGAAATTATAAATGGTTAATATTGATTTGGAGGGGTTGTTTCTTTTTCATTGAGATCCGACTACGGATTAGTGAGGATGGGAGGCAAGTCTTGTGAGATTTATTAACTGACACAGAAGAGGTGACTGAGAATGATCAAAGGGGATTGTTTACTTTGAGGATTTTCCCTGTGATTCTAGGCTTCCTTTCCTAGGAAGATATCTGCATCCTGGCTACTGAGAAACAGTTTCTAAGGATGAGGTAGGGGCTGGACACCTGGGAAGGGAAGTGAGCACAGCCTAAGGATGATGGCTTAGTTTGGCACAGTTCTTTCTTTCTTAGCTGTTTATGGAATTAACTATGTTAGGATGCACAGGTGTGCATACATATGGCACTTCCACTCCCCCTTTCTCCCACATGCTGATATAGCATCCTCTGTGACCTTACTGGGGCGGGGGTGGGGGGGGAGCAGTTGAGAGAAGGATTATTGCTATAGGTCATTGAAGGCTTTCATTGTGAATGCAATTTGGGATCGTCCAGCGAATTTTGGTTTTGCTTCATCTGTGTCCATTCTCTCTTGTTATGGAATGTATACATGGATAAAAGCTATTGCTACCACTGTTTTATAATGCAAACAACTTCTTTCTCAAGAGGTTCCTGTGACATCTTCTGTTCATTTCCAGTGCTAAAGTCTCCAGTTCTGGGTCCCAGGCTGTGTATTGATGGACCAGTCTGAGCCCTGCTCCTCCAAAGACAAGTTCATTCTGAAGGTCCTGTTGAGTTTCAGGAGTTTGAGGGCCCTTGGGGAACTTTTTCTTTGAAACTCGAAGTGTTTGCTTTTTTTGGAATTTCTCTCTCTGCATTTCCTCTTTTGGGAAACATCTTCTCTCTGAGCAAGTCGCTATGAAGCTCAGATACATCAATTACTTAGAAAAGTGTTTAACACCTAGCACTCAGCAGAGGTTAGCTACTTACTATTATTAGAGAAAGAGCAGTCTAGAGCAACATTGCCCAACGGAAACACCAAACAAGGCACATAGTTGTAATTTTCTAGTAGCCACATTAAAAAAGTAAAAAGAAACAGGTGAAATTAATTTTAACAATATACTTTATTTAACCCAACGTGTCAAAAATACTATCTTTTCAATACGTAATCAATATTATTAAATTATTGAGAAATTTTACATTCTTTTTTCATGCTATTTTCAAAATCCATTTTATAATTTACACGTACGGTGCCACTCAGGATAAGCCAAATTTCAAGTGCTCCTCCACCACGTGTGGCTAGTGGCTGCCATACTGGACAGCTCAGGTCTAGAACCTTCCCACTCCAGGTGAGTTCTGGGAACCAGCAGCATCAGCATCATATGAGAGCTTGTCCAAACTACAGAATCTCAGGCCCAACCCCAGACCTACAGAAGTAGAATGGACGTTTTAACAAGATATTCATTTGCATGTTAGAGGAGGAAACACTGGTCTGGAATCCCCATGCTCATGTCCACACCCTGGGGTTCTGATTTACCTGGCCCAAGGTATGGCCTAGGCACTCGTGTTTTTTAAAGCTCCCCCAGGTGATTCTAATATGCAACTAGGCTTAGAGTCATTTGTGTAGTGGGCTCAAGAGCCAGGATGCCTGACTCTGCCATATTCTACCTTCAAGACCTCAGGAAATCTACCCAAACTCTCTGTGCCTCAATTTTCTCATCTCAGAAATGGAGATGAAAGTAGCATCTGCTTCAAGGGTTGTTATGAGGATTAAATGAGTTAACATATGTAAAACACTCAGAACAGTACCTAGCACATGGGAGATACTCCTTAAATATAAGCTCTCACCCTTTCTTCTTTTCCTTGAAGGTCCGGGGATACCCAGAGCCCCAAGTGATGTGGCACAGAAATGGGCAACCCATCACCAGTGGAGGCCGCTTCCGGCTGGATTGTGGTATCCGAGGGAGTTTCAGCCTTGTGATTCATTCTGTCCATGAGGAAGACAAAGGAAAGTATACCTGCGAAGCCACCAATGGTAGTGGTGCCCGCCAGGTGACAGTGGAGTTGACAGTAGAAGGTGAGTCCCAGGAGGCCAGAGCCTTGGTGGGAGGCTCTGGCCTGCAGCTCCTGCTCCAGCTCCTGCTCCAGCTCCTGCTCTTTTGGGAGAGGAACTCACAGGAGAAAGTACACCTATTCCTAAACTCAGGACCTTTTACTCTGATGGGGGAATGTGGTCCCTGCAAACAAGGGAAGCATCCCAGGAGACAGTGTTTGTCAAACCACACATCACCTCACTTTCCTGCTCCATTCTTCTTATGGCTTCCCTTCACACTGAGGCAGAGACCAGACTCCATACGAAGCCTTGCCCAGTCCGGCCCTGCCTGGCTCTCCAGACCGTCTCCTACCACCCTTTGCCTGCTCACTCCACTGTGGTCACACTGGCTCTGCTCTTCCCAGAGTAAGGCCTCGGGGCCTTCACACTGCTGTTCCAATCTAAAGGAAGAGCTCTTTCCACAGCCCTTCACCTGACGCAGACCCTCACTTGCTTCAGGTCTCTGCTCAAATGCCCCCTCCTTAGAGAACCCTTTCTGACCACCTCATCCCCAGGACTCTCCATCTTCTCACTCCACCCGAATTTTTTCCTCTAGGATTCATCACTGCCTTACATCCTATTTTCTCCTCCGTCCCTCACCACTAAATGGAAGCTCTAGGAGGAGAGGGACTTAATCCTGTTTACTGCTGTATCTCCAGCATCTAGAAAACCTCTTGGCTTAGGATAGATGCTGAAATATTTAGAGAATGAATGAACAGTATTTATTATCATTATAAAGTAATACATGCTCATTACAAAAAAAATTTTCGTAAAACTCAAGAATATATAGGATAGAAACACTAATTAGTTGTCTTTTTTCTCCTTTGTACTTAAAAAGAATTCTATTAATTTTATTAACTTTAACTTCTAGGAAGAACATTTGACCATAAGTAGAACTCTCTTTTGCTGCGAGCATATCCCCCACATGCTGAAGCTGCTTCACTGGTGAAGATATTCCCAGTTCAGGCTACTGGTTGATGATTAAAGGCCTGATGTCTGAAAAAACATCATTTTTTCAGACCCTCGGAAGGATGACAAGGTTCCCTCAAACCTTCTAGGCCTGTCTAATGGCTTAGAAATCAGAGGGTCAGACTCTCTTTCACCTCTCTCAGAAGATAGTCCTCCCAACCTGGTTTTCAGGGGACACTATGTGAGGATTAATGCAGCCAGGGAAGGCTGCAGAAGGGTGTGAGGTGTATTTGGGCCAGTGTTTGCCCTCTTTCCTTACATCAAGGAAGGACAGACGGGCTGTTTCACAGAACAGAATATGCATAATTTGGATAGTTTCCTTAAATTCTTCAAAACTGAGTGACTTGTTCCTTTTAATAATCTTCAAGTGCCTGTGGGCTGGGGCATTCCAGATGGAAAGTGGCCCCTGATTAGAGTCTCTGAATGTCCCTTATCTAGGCCAATTATACACTTTTCAATGCCCAAATTTTAAGCTAAGGCCCACAAATAAAAATTACTTTAGTATTAGTCGGTTTGGGCTGCCATAATAGACTGTGTGGCTTAAGTAACAGAAATTTATTCTTTCACAGTTCTGGAGCCTGGAAGCCCAAGATCAAGGTCCAGCAGTGTTTGGTTTCTGTTGAAGGCTCTCTTGGCTTGCAGATAACCACCTTCTTGCTGTGTCCTTACATGGTGGAGAGAGAGAGAAGTGTCTCTTCCTCTTCTTTTAAGGGCACCAACCCTATTGGATTAGGACTTCACCCTTATGACATCACTGAACCTTTATCACTTCCTCACAGGCCCTGTCTTCATATACAGTCATACTGGAGTTTAGGGCTTCAACATATGTATTTGAGTGGGGACACTACAATTCGGTCTATAACACCCCTTTTCTGATTTTCTGTTTGGAGCTAGGGAAACAGGGAATTATGAGTCAGAGGGCCAAGGTTCTGATCTTGACTTTTATTAATCAGATGTATGACTTGAAACTTCTAGACCTCTGATTCTGCAGAATAAAAGGTTTGAATTCAGAGGTCTCTACAGCCTGAGCCAGCTCTGGGAGTATAGGGAGGCATGTAAACCCAGGTAATATGAAACCCTTTTTTCAAGTCCTGTCATTGAGGAAGTTAAATCTAATGTCTTAACTAAGCAGAAAAAATTTTACTATGTCATGGTACTCAGGGCAGGGGGCAGGAAACAATGAGAGAAGGCTGAGGATCTCAACCCTGACCTATCCCCTTTGGTTTTAATTTGGGGAGACTCAGGCCCAGGCCATTTAAGATATTGTGTGTCTTCTAACCCTAGGGGATAGAATGGCCTAAAGGCTGTAGCCTATTTAAATGTGAATGGCCCTGTCTATATTCTGATCCTGCATCAAAAGCCAGTTTTAGCCAATGTGTGGTTTGGGGCCACCTCATAGACCATTGGCCTGGAAGGATGCACTCTGGTCTCTTCTACTATAAATAAGTTGTTGACTGTGCCAGGCTGGCCCAAACTCTTACAAAGGGAATCTAGCAGCCCACCTGCCTTCCCTCCAACTCTCTGTGCTATACTTCTTACTTGGAAAGAGCAGAGGTCCTGGAATTAAGAGAGTAATTCATATGTAGAACATTTTGAGCCTCTAGTGGTCAAGTTTAGAAGGTGGTGTTGTCAGATGGTCTTAGATTTTAACTCCACTAATTTCTAACTGGGGAAATTAACCTTTCAGAGTCTTATTTCCTTTTCTGTAAGCTGGAGCTAATGGCTGCCCTTTGGGTTGTGTAAGGATCAGTGCAGCACTGGCAAAGAGTAGGCACCAGTAAGTGGCAGCCTTGTAATATTTGAACTGCTGTATTAACATCCAGTGGGAAATCCTTGCATGGAGAGTAGAGGAAAAGCTTCCTCATCTGATTTCCAGTTTGTAACCAGGGCCACAAAACATGCACTATCCGCCACGAGGACAGTGCCTTAATGACAAGACCACTCATGACCTTATGCAATGTGATGCAGACCTAGTCTGAGACCTGGACAGGCTCCCTGAAGCCAGCCCTGACACTCACCTACATCCAGAGGGCTGGTCACAGAGGCCTGGTGCTTAGCAAGAAAAAGACATAGTGCCTACCCTCTGGGAGCTTTCTCTCTAATGGAGGGGTGAGTGGTGCTGGGCAGTCACATCCGCACAGTGAATCTAGGGCGCGGGGTGGAATGAAGAGTGGTGCTCCCTTCTGTTCCCTTCCCCAGTTAGTCACCAAATCCTGCCATGCCATCTCCCACACAGTTCTCATTTGTCCCCACTGCCACCACCCTGGTCCCAGCTGCCCTCAGTAGTACAGTTTCTGCTCTCTACACCCCCCATGAAACCACTGTCCTATAATCTAAGGCTCCCGACAATTTGAGAGAGAGAAAAGGTCAGGTGGCAATCCACCTAGAATGTGGCAGCAGAAGGGAGAATGACCCCAGGCCATGGGATTTAAGAGAGAAGAGTGGCCCTAATAACCTCTAAATATACTGATGCCATGGGCACCATCATTCTTGGGTGATTTTGAATTCATATGAAATGCTTCCATGTCATCTTTATTGCTACTACCTTTTTTCAGGGACAGATTTCTCGGATCGCTTTTATTTTCACATTGGATTGATGACATCATATTTTGAGCCCATGTCTGTTTACATTGGTTTTAAATTGTTATATTCCTTAATAATGTCTGTTGTGATTCTCCTTTTTTCTCATATTTCTTTTGTACTATCTTTTTTATGTAAATTTTCTACCTTCTTAAAGACTTGTAACTATATTTCCCATTTATATTCTTTATAAACTTTTTGTAGTCTATAGCACTCCCTGATGACTCTCCTTTTTTTAGGGGCATATGCCTATTCTTTTTAATCCAGTCAGAATCTTGAAATGTTCTGAGTATTTTGTTCTTTTCTGTCTCATCAAAGTTAACAATATAAATGTAGTAGAGATGAAAATTATTCTTTTCACCCCACTAGTCTCTTTGCTGAAAAATAGCTGTGTGTCAAAACTGCCTTAGCAGGAGCCTCACTTATTTCCTAGATGGACAAGCTAGATGACAAATTATTTGGTCTCATTTTGTTCTTGAAGAGTGACTCCTGAATCTCCTTCACTTTGACTCCGTTTCTGTTTTTTTTTTTTTTTTTCACCTTCCACTTTGCTTTTGTCTGTTTTTCCCCCAAAATATACACCATAGCCCTTGCTGGCCCTGCTTTGATTTCTACCATTGATGCTACCATCTCTTCTTCCTCCATCCCCTTCTCCCATCTCCACCCCTGGCCCTTTCTTGATAGCTCATAGTTTTAGTCTCTTCTTCATTCATCAGATTTAGCTAAGAACAACAAGACTTGGTGATTGCCCTTAAGAGACTGATTTTCTTGACCTCATATTTCATTATTATACTGCAATTAAAATTGAACATCAAGATGTATTTGCAAGGTGCTGACTTTGCGTGGTACTATGTGAGATCCTTTCGTCACATCCTTTCTGTAAGAACCTGGTTGTTCAGATAAGACCTAGACATTCAAAGACAAGAAAAAACACAACTCCAATCAATCAGGCAGCACGGGTTTGTTTGCCAAGTGATTGGCTCATCATCTCTATAACTTCAGTGGGGAAAAAGACCTCTGGAGGCTGAAATGGTCTGTAATGTCTTCTTGGACGAGAAGGGACTTGGCTAGTCCTAGAAGAGTGAGTCCAATTTTGATGGTAAATTGTGATTTGGATGATGGGGATGGGAGGAAAGTGGAGAAACTCAGGGCCTGGTGTGGAGGGTGGGTGAGTAGACAGGTAGAAGCAGAGAAGAGTGGAAAATAAAGCTGAAGGACAGAACGAGAGGAGACTATAGAAGGTCTGGAGCATGAGACCAGGCAGTTTCGAGTCCTATCCATTGCAGGGTATCAGTGGACTGAATTCTGCCCATTAATGGTTGTTTCCCATTTTCATCCTGCTTGTAGCTCTCCAAATGAACTGCTCTCCTTAGCTATAGCCAGAGGGGCATGCTGTGTCATTCCTTTGGCCTCATAAAAAAAATTTTAAATTACCT